TTATTGTATTATTATAAATTATAATAAATATTATTTCTTTATAATTATATTCTTGTTATAATTACTGGATTTTTTGTCTTATATTTTTATAATTATAATGAGATAATATTGTAATTTATCTATTTTAAATTTTATTATATTATCATAATTTATATACTTTTGAAAATTTTGAATTTTTTTACTAGTTTTAAATTCTTTATTAAAAAAAAATATTATAATAAACATGAATTTAAAGATTAAACAAGATATTTATAATTAATTTAAAAAGTTCTTTATTTATCTTCTAATTAAGCAACTATAAATTGCTAGAAAATATCAAGAAACTTTTGAAATTCATATTTTTTCTTATAGAAAATTATAGGTTGTGTTTTTAACAGAATAACTCTCCAATTCAAAATGCTAGCCAAAATAATTAATCTTTTTGAATATCATGGGGTTAATTTCTGATTGATCTTCATACTTGTCAGATATCAAATCCAATTGAGCATCTGTAAACTATACTTAAGAGAAAGATGGAAAAGAAAGTAATTTATAATTAATAAAAATAATTTTCAACAACCAAATTTCAAGCAATAATACAAAAGGAATGGGTGGACTTGCGTGAAGATCTATTTTTCAGTTAGCAGAGAGTATAAAAAATTGTGTTTTGGCAGTGCTTGATCAGGATGAAAAAATTGACTGTTAAAATTTTGTAGATATTTAATAATTATATTTGGCAATGTGCATACAAAATTTGAGCATATGTAAACAATAAAAATAAACTTTTTTAGTAGTATTTATTAAATTACGATATTTATGACAACCACTATATACGATATTTCAACTGTTGTGACTTGATGGGCACATCTGAATCGGAAAGCTAATTGCTAATTTTACGCGTATCGGTATGATTTAATTACTATATATGGATATATATATATGCGCATTATGCGCATCAAATACTACGCATAATATTTTACTACGCGCGCATTTGCCCATCTCCCCGTTGTTAATGAAAATACTTACTTGGTATGGTTAATTTTTTTGAGCTTGGATTTAAATTTTCAACAGTATCATTCTCAATAACAAACTCTCGTGAGACATATGCTGTAAAATAAAACAAATAAATAATTACAATATAATTAATAAATTTCTACCATTTTGATATCTTTATCTATTAAGATATTTTGTATGCTGGAATTCGTTATATAAAGTATTCGATATTTCGAACATGCATTATATTAAAGAATTCGATAGATCGGATACCTAAATCCCACTCACCAGCTCCTGAATTTCGTTATATCAAGGTTCAACTGTAAATAATAATAGTGTTCGAAAAACAAACCTGTATTGAAAAAGGGGAATGAGGTGTTACACGGTGACATCATGTACATCATTGTCATTTAGACGGACAACTTTTGGGATGAGACACTTGAATCATATCCCAAACACAGATTATAATGCATTGTTACATTAACTGCATGCATGCTCCATACAAGAAAGGTCTTAAAAAAGCAACTTTATAATGACGTTAACATTTTGAATAAACCTGCGCCAAGAAAAACTTTTACAACTGAATTATCAGAATTTTCGTTAACTAAACATAGATTAAAATAATACATGTACATTTTATTGCCATATTCAATACAGAAAGCCCTTTAAAAGCATTTTAACAAGAACGTCAACATGACGGTGTTTGAATAAATTTGCTCCTAGAATATGTAAGAATCTTTACAAATGAATTATTGGAACTTCCGTTATCATACACAGATTATAATGCATTTATTGCATTGTTACATTAACTGCAAGCAAGTTTCAATACAGGAAGCCCTTTAAAAGTAATTTCTTAATATCAACAATCACGTTAACGCAGTAAATTGTAATAAAAGACATTGACTCCCTTGTACACACATACGTAACTATATAATGACAACGTTATTTCTCGTTTGTTTTCTATCATTTCAACCAATTCACAAATTTTATAAAATGTACTCAAAGATGGAATCAAATACTCATCATTGTAATGTATGTGACCATTGTCAAAAGAATAAATACTGCGATGAATGTTTAGTTCACAATACTCATGATTGTAGAACTTGTCCCAATTGTCAAGAAAATGGATACTGTGCTGGATGTTTCAAATATCATAAACAAATTTATAACGATAAATTGTCTAGCGGAGATAAAGACATCGATGAACTAATAAAGGAATGCAACAAAATTCATTACAAATATAAAAATATTTTCGAATGGATTCCATTTGAAAGATTTACCAACGTTGAATATCTTGCAGAAGGAGGTTTTGGGCCAATCTATAAAGCAACTTGGTTGGATGGACCATTAGTTTATAATGACTATGACCATCCCATATGGGATCATGAAGAAAATAAATGGAGACGAAGAGAAAAATGGAAAGTTGTGTTGAAATCAACACACAATTCGAAGAAAATTACTCCAGCGTTTATAGTCAAGGTAAAAATGAACTTTTTCTTAAGTGAAAGTCTTAACTGAAAGTTGCTTTTTTTCTAATACGATTAAATATTTCAAAAATTAGATTCAAACTGGGCTTAAATGCTATGATTACGGCAGTTTAATAACATATTATGGAATGACTAAAAATCCAGTCACAAACGAATACTTGATAGCAATGCATGCATTCTACATGCATAGTGATCTTGACAAATACATGTACATGTATAAAGTGAACTCAAATACTCAACATTGTGACGATGATAAGAACTGCGATGAGTGTTTAGTTCACAATACTCATGATTGTAGTAAATGTACTGATTGCCAAAAAGATCATTCCTGCTCTGGATGTTTCAAATATCACAAACTAATTTATAACGACAAATTGTCCAGCGGAGATAAAGATATCGACGAGCTAATAAAGGAATGCAACAAAATTAATTACGAACATAATCATATATTCGAATGGATTCCTTTTAAAAGATTTACTAACGTGGAACATCTCGTAAAAGGAGATTTTGGGTCAATTTATAAAGCAAACTGGTTGGACGGACCATTGACTCCACATGCTGAAAAATGGGATCATGAAGAAAACAAATTTAAACGAAGAGGAGAAAAAAAAGTTGTATTGAAATCATCACACAATTCAAAGCAAATTACCCTGGACGAGGTAAAAAAAAGACCATTTTCTAAAGTAGAGGTTGCTTTTGGTTTTCTAATAAATCAATTTTTCAAAAACAGATTCAGACTGCGCTTAAATGTTATGATTACGGCAGCTTGATAGCATATTATGGAATGACTAAAAATCCAGTCACAAACGAATACTTGATAGCAATGCATACATTCTATAGCAAATATAAAGTCCACTCAAATACTCATCATTGTGATGATTGTCAAGAAGATGAATACTCCGATGAGTGTTTAGTTCACAAAACTCATGATTGTAGTAAATGTACTAAATGCCAAGAAAATGAGACCTGCGGAAAGTGCTTTGAATATCACAAACGAATTTATAACTATGAATTGTCTAGCGGAGATAAAGATATCGACGATCTAATAAGAGGATGCAACAAAACTAATAAAATGGGATTGTTCGAATGGATTCCTTTTGAAAGATTTACCAATGTTAAATGCCTTGCAAAAAGAGGTTTTGGATCAATTTATAAAGCATCGTGGTTGGATGGCCCATTTTACAAATGGGATCATGAAGAAAATAAATTTAAACCACCTAATGAAGATAAACGCGAGGTTAAATTGAAATTACTTGATTCAAAGCAAATTATAGAAGGGGTAAAAACTTTACAATTTTTAATGTGTATGAACGATACTTTTTTTATTTTTTAATATGATTAAGCTATTCAACAATAGATTCGGCACCGTGATGGTTATTATGGAATAACTAACAATGCAATTACAAATGGATACTTCATAGTAATGGATTATAATGTTGATGACGACTATGATTACATTATTGGTTCCAACCACAAAGAGTTGACGGGGAAATACAGTCGAACCTCCGTAAAAGGACACAGTTGGGACATCTAAATTTTGTTCTAACTTAGAGGTGTTCTATTATAGAATTTTATAATTCTTATTAAATAATAATTTTATAAATAATCTATATTTATTAAGAACAATTCACATCTTAAAAATGCGTGAAGATTTAAATGTCTAAATCAATATACATGTAAAGCACGTGACATTAATTTTATGCAGAGGTCAAATCTAATATACATGTAGATGTGTATGCTTTACAAAATTATGTTTATAGAAATTTATTTGTTCTATAAAAAAGGTTCTTTGAAAGAGGTTATTTCTTTATGAAGCTCTTTTATGGAGGTCCAATTGAATTATTATATACATGTATTATCAATGTGGTGTGTACGAGGTTAATGACCATATGCCGAACAAAGTCATAGTAGAGATCTCGTATTAGGCATCTATAAAGGAGTACAACCTACGATACCAAATAAATTTTCCTGGATGATGCAAATTTATTATTGAAATATGTTCGGATTAATCCAGAAAGCAGATCACCTACTGAGAAACTGAGAGTATTGATCTATTCTAGCAATTTCAATTATTATTGGTGGAAACTGAATACTTTGCATTTTCAGTGCTTCAATTCTTTAGAATATTCTAAGATAAATGAAAAATTAAAGAGTGTCTTGAACTAGAGAGACAGAATTGAAAAAACTTGACAAGAGATGCAATTACAAAAAAGTAATGTGCAAATAAACAAAAACAAGAAATCCCACCAAAATACTATTTTACACCAGTCGAATTTTTACTTTAAAACTAACATTGATACAGGTTCGCACATCTATTTTTATATGCAATCAAATAAATGACGTTTCAGATTGATTTTAATATAATTTATATTTAGGTTTACAAGTGTTAGTTTGTATTTTCCAAAATGAGGGTAAATTTATCTTTAATTCATTGATTTATATTTCTTTAGTGATAAAAACAGATTTCAATGCCGAGTAGTTTTCAAGAGTAAATACAAATTTAGATATATACGTGATTTTATAACGAAAAAAAATCTCTTTTCAAACTTTTTGTCTAATTTCTCGTATATCATATAACGCACAGTAAAATATCAAATGCATTAAAATACTAAAAACCATTTACAAAATGATCTTAATAACTGCATCTGTAATTCCAAGTGATTTGTTGTAAAGAAAGGGAATAACATGGTAGATATTTTTAACCATTTGGTGCTGTCAATAAGATGTGCCCGAATTACAGTCCGCACAGAATGTAATGGCGGTGACATTGTCTAGCGAATTTTTCGCTGAACAGCACCAGCCAGAACGCGATCAATGCTATGCAATGAGTATACACTCTCAACCATTTTATGCCAGATAAATCCAACCGTGAGCGTATTAAGAGATTATAGCAAAAAGGTTGCCGCAACGCTACTGAAATTTCACAAAAAATTGTTGTTCCACTTCGCTTGTATCACCCTCTTTCACAAAAATGACCTATTTCCAGTTATCCGCCATTCTGGTCGCCATGGAAAATTTATCTATGATGTGCCGCCAAATTGGAAAATGATAAATGGAAATCACGAGCTGAAATGAAGACATGACTGAGGAGGTATATACAAACTTTATAGGTTTGGTTATATTTGTAGCTTGCCCAGACATGTTCCTTTTCTCACCGACAAAGCTAAAGAAACCGGTTCCAATGGGAAAAATATTTTAATTATAATTGGAAAAAGGTAGTATTTTCTGATGAAATTACCCTAAAATCATCTTAAAGTTGCTTGGCATGGGTTCGTTCTGAAAAAATGATCGCGTCAATAGTAAAACATCCATTGTGTGGAGTTGATTTGTACAGAATGTGTACATTTCCAAAAATATAAATCGTCATCTTTACAACACAAACTAGCACGCATCTTGTTATCGCTAGATTTCTAGCAAGATAACGATCCAGAACATGGAGCCAATGAAGACTGTGATGTTTTGAAGCCCATCTGCCGAATCGTGTTTTTTCTTAACTGTCATATAGTTTCGATCTCAATTCAATTGAACATATGGGTAATTCTGATTAATGGCGTAAAAAATGGATCAAAAGAGGTTTTTGTTGTGTTGGTAAAGGAGAAATACAGGAATCTTCTTAATAATGTTATTCTTAATATATTAGAAGTATGGGAAATCGCGTTCAAAGCGTGTTGACGCGAAAGGAAGTTCAAACGTATTTTTTTAGCGGTTAATAATTGTCCTTATGATTTTTTTATTTCTGTAACAATTGCAAATTGTTACCAATTTTAAATGTTTAATTGTTGCACATACATGTACAGTTGTGACGTTATTGTTCATTATTCTGGATATAACGATAGTTATGATTTCATGTTAGGAAAAATTAAGGAATTACGGGATGTACAGTATTGACTATTAAATTATAACTTATGTAATGCTATTTAGGTATAGAAACGATAACCATCAGTATAGGTTTCGTCAATTCGTCAAATTCCATTAATAAGGTCCAACAGGTTAAAAAATTTCGCATAATCAAATCGGGATGTCATAAATATTTTAACTTATGCATAATTAAGCGTGCAGCGCATTACATTATTATCATTGTTCTATATACATGTACATGTTCTGAATTTAATATATATATATATATATACATGTATTAAATTTAATGTCTATTCTCGAAAACATATTCTTCTCCGTTATTATTATATTGCGACATCAATTTATACGATTATTTGATTTTTATTCCATTCTATCGTTATATTAATATAAATCACAAATAAAAATTTTTGATTCATTTCTCAATTTTCGAATAAGCAGAGCAGATTTCAGGATGAATAAAAGAACTATGTAAATATATTAATTAATTGGAATACTCGAAAAGATTTGTTACATTAATCTCATATTATTTAGTCTATTACGTTCCCTGAGTTTATTGATTCTTTAATTATATTCACAATTTTTACTCAAATAATTAATGACTTAGTACTTGACAAATAATATAATTAATAACTACGAAAAAATGTTAAAAAATACACATGAAAATAAATATAATATATGAAGATGAGTGTAATTCTATATTATATAATCAACCTTTGCATGTGTATTCTATCTACACTCAAAAAATTTATATTGATGTTATTAATTCATAGGCTCTATAAATTTTATTGCACTCACAAATATAATGCACCTCAAAAATAAATTTACTATGTCTAATTCACGCAAAAAATTTGCAATAATTGTACTCATGAATTTCATGCGTTCATAATAAAAACTTCTCTAAAGAAAAATATAAAAGAAGCATTTTTGAAAAATATAAAAACGACAGCTGATAAATAGGAATAGGCTGTTATATAAGAGATATCAGATATGAATCGTCAAAATCAAGAAATATCGTCAGTGTCTGAAATTGTGCATAAATACATATTAAAATCAGTTTTATGTGAATAATTTCAAAAAATATATATACTAGTGATCTATAGTAGTAGTTCAGACCGAACAAGAATTTAAATATTTCCGCATCCATTAGCCCAAATCAAATGGCTTTGATACATAGAAAGACTAATAAAATGATATCAAGATTATTCTACTTGGATTATTGAATGCGTAAATTTGAAAGTTACTATTCGTACAGTATATAGCTTGGAGATCAACAGTTCAAACAGATTGAAATTTGATTCTATTTGGATACGTCTTGACTAAATGAATAAGAGAGAATGATATCAATTTGGATCACTATATGTGTAGATATTACATTTTTGTTAACTCCCAAATGTATCTTAAATTTGCATCTTTTTATGATATTAATGTTATTACTTAACATACTTCAACAACTGAAAATTTTGAAAAGTATGCCACGTGTTCACACTATGTACGTTGATTAGACACTGAGTAAAGTTTAGCAAGGATCTTTTTTATTAATATTTGAAACATTTAGTAATACAGTTGTTACTGTCTAATTGCATACTGCGTACTGTATAATTGCAATTTGAATATATGATTGATTTAGACTATAAAATTGAAATTTTTGGCCGCACCGATTGCAATTAGACAGTACCAATTGTACTACATGTATTAAGAAAGAAATAATGACAACGATATACATGTACTAATATTGGAACAAGATCTGCAATTGATTAACGAAATAACTCTATTTTGAAAAGAATCAAAAAGTCCAGAGTATAATACAAGAAATTAATATTCAACGATATGATTCTAAAAGTATGATTGATGTATTGTTGTTGGTGTTGTTGGCATTTTCATTTGGAATAGTAGTCATTTGTTCGTTGAAAATATTATTGGTTCCAATTAAGATGCTTTGCACCATGTTCGAATATTCTGGGAATGATTGATTTTGTTGTAAATTCTGTTGTTGGTTTTGGAATAAATTCTGTTGTTGTTTCGGAATAAATTTTGTTGTTGATTGACTTGTTGATGAATATTTTGTGGAGGGTTTTGATTCATAATTTTTGGAATTATGTCACCAGCAATGATCATATTTAAAGATATTTAGTAAAATATGAATCTTGAAATTGTAATTTGGAAGGTTATGGTTTCTTTTCATTACTCTTATCATCGAACTTATTTATATTCGAAGGCTGAAATATAAACATTATATTCTGATAATTTTTTATATTTGATAATTTATTTTATGGTGCAACCGGTTTACATTTAGTGAATAACCTTTCACCAAAACCCGGTATTCATTTGTTATCGATATTAGATAATAATTATATTTATGTTAGTACTTGTATATTCATTAACAAACAATGTATGGATGGATAATTGTTCATCTATTGTAAGAACAATGAAGAACAAGCAGTCGTTGTTTAAGGGTATATTCATCGAATCCATCTGTGTCGCATATTATACAATAAAAGCGAAGCAAATATGTAGGGACCAGTAAAAAATTCATTTATAAATCTTTTATCCGAGTTTCTCGAAGTTCTATTAAAGTTTTTTCGAAAATATCGAAGAAAGAAACGACGTGTTCATTTGTGAAATACATGTAATTGACTTTTACAACTAAATGGTTACAATGCATATTGCGCGCTTTCAATCTCGGTTTTGTCGAATAATATTATGTGGCTGAAAATTCATTAAATTTTTCTTTATGTGAAAAAAGGATCAATAGAATTGGTGGTTTCCCGTTTTTTTGGAAAATTAACACATAATATGTTGACTCGATTTGTTTATTAGCTATTTTGAATTCTATTATCATTATGTGCGCGTGAAAATGCGCGAACGCCAACTTTATTTTGCTATAAAAAGAAATCTTTAATTAATTTGATGACATGTATTTAGAATACAAAAGAGTGCATTTCTTTTTATATCGATAAATCAACAGCAGAGCAGAACGTTTGTAATTGATTAAAAATTCTAATTCGGATTTTAAATAAAACTTTGAAAAATCACTTGATCTAAATTTCAAAATTCTCGTATAAACCGCAAATCCGGCAAAGCTTCCTTAATTTCTTTACTAAAAATACTGGTGAATCTTAGATAAAAATCAAGATTTGCAAGAATAAAGATTATTTTTATTTTTATAGTTCGAATTTAATGACAATAGCCTTTCTCAATATGAAACAATACGGTCATGCAATTAAAATGATATACAACCTCGGGAACAGCAAAGAGTTTGACTTTAAAGAGATTGTGACTGTACTGGAGGTCAAATCTCTATACTTTATATCTGAGACTGAAAATGGTATGATTGTTATATAAGGGTGAATATATGGAGATGGTTGTAATGTTGCGCATTGTTTCGAATTAGTGAATTTAGAGGGCGAGTACAGCAAGGTAAGAGTGAGAGCAAGACTAAATGATTTACAATTAAGGGTTTCTTTATTGTTCTAAAAGTCTCCCATGGTGATTTGTACGCAAATCAACCTTTTACAAATGTTACAGTGTCCGTCAAAAGTGTTCCCCCATCCTAGATCAACGATAAACGAAAAATCTTTTTTTTATTTAAAAGCTCTCATTTCATACAACAAGGTTAGCACATGATATAATCGTCCTCGGCCTCAATTAAAGCTTCTACATGCTTTCTTACACTTGAGGCTAATTGGTCCGCATATTCTTTAGGTAAACGACTCCATTCTTTTTGCAATTCTCCCTTCAAACCCTTAACAGTTCTAATTTTTTTTTGTCAGATCATTTTTCATGCATCCCCAGACATTTTCAAACTGGTTTTGATCAGGAGACATCGACAGCCACGGGAGAACGTTTATACCCATTTCCTTCTTTCACGTCTTTGCGATTTTGAACAATGCTTGAGATCATTGTTTTCTTG